GAGTGAGGGCATGTCTATCAAACGCAGGGATAAGAGGCCGGATAAGTACGTGTATGGCTCGCCAAAGCTCGAGAAGAACTGGTTCGAGCGGTTTTTCTTCGTGAAGTCAACTCCTGGTGAATGGGCTAGCGAGTATGTAGAGGAGCCCACTGTTTGGAAGAAGGGGAGCGTGAAGGGGTTTGAGACGGACGTTGGCGAGTACGACGGTCTTGACCAAGAGTATGAGGCGTGCCTTACGCAAAGAATCCATTTATATGCCAGTGGAGTCCGCGCGGCGTGTTTGGCGGAACTGTTTGGAGATTGTTAGTTGCTTTCTTTTTCTTTTGTATTCTTGTTATATTAACGGGCCTCTTACGACATTCTGGCGCAGGTGTGGATTTCTCATCGTTGGTGAGTATGATGTCCGTTGATAACGTCGTGAAGGCTCCCCGGGCTTCTCGCGCCGAGAAGAAGAGGAAGGAGGTGGAACAGCCCGCCGCCACAGAGACGGTGTCGAAGGAGGCGCGGACAGTGGAGGCTGCCCCCAGGGTTGTTGCTGAGAAGGATACGCGTGCGAGCAAGCCGCCGCGTCCAGAGAAGGCGGTTGCGGATAGTTCCTCTGGGGAAACCGTTCACAGACTTCGCTCAAAATACCAGGGTTCAGGCCCAACGCGACTAACTACTTTCGCGACGTGCGCATTCATGCGACCGCTGCTTGTAATAACTCAGCCGCGCAGATCGCCTTGCGGGCTGTTGGGCCCCTGCTTACTATTCTGTCGCGATGGAGAAGTCTGACCCGTCTGGAGCAGAGTTGTAACAAGGGACCATAATGGAACTTTCATTTTGGCAAAGGTGAAGAGAGTTAAAGGGATTCATGACCCCACTTTGGGTGAGGCGATGGCAGTCGAGTTTGGTTTGCAACTTGCTAGACGGCACCAACTAGTTACGCCCTTTGTGGAAACTGATTGTTTAAGTGTGGTCAATAGTTTGGACAAGGTATACGAAGTTCACATAGAGCTTGAGACGGTGCTTAGGAGTATTACGAGGTTGGTGGCGATGATAGGCGTCGGGCGTGTGATGCATGTAAGCAGACATGCAAATAAAGCTGAACATATTATGGCTCACACGAGGGCAAGATGGAATATAGCGGATGTTTGATTTGATAAGCCACCGCTGAATCTGTTGGATCAGCTTGTAAGTGACCATGTAACACCGGTTCCCCTTAATAAAGCTGAATAACAGGTTTCGATTAAAAAAAAACCTCATATTTCTCGGCAGCAAGCAGGCTTCTCTAGTATATATACACAATAAATAAAAGCCAAATGAGAAAACTTGAAGCTCCATTTCAAATTTCCTGCATCCAGAGTGAAAGTAGGAAGGACATTTTGGTCTTCACAGTTACTTTTTTTTATTCATTAAAAAGACACTTACTAGGATTCGAACAATGACCACTTTGAAGAAAAGCAAAGATCATAACCAATCACACTAAGGGGTCGTTTGGATGGAGCATTTTCAAAATGAGGCAATTTGGTATAAATGTCTCATTTACCAAAACAAGACAATTGAATGGTATATTTGTTTCAAATTATCTTGTTTGGGTTGTTATTTGAAATGATGCAATTGAAATGAAACATTTGATGAAAATACACTTTCACCCTTGTTTTCTTATCCTCCTTCTCCATCTTCCTCTTTTGTCACAAGGCCAGGTAGAATGCTCCCCAGTCACACACAGACTATCTTTTGAGAAACAGAGCAAGGGAAAACAACCCAAGCCCAGGTAGAATGCTCACCAACCAAGCAATAAGATTTTCCCCTGAATCAAAACTTAACCGAATCTAGTCCTGACTGAAACGAAGCTACAGAAACAAATCCAACCCCTTTTCAACATAGCATCCAAAAATCATAAACGAAAAAAAAAAAAAGAGAAGAGAAAGGAAGCAGGCCAAGACCGCTTTATCATCGTCTACGTTCACGTTCCAATTTCACCGGCGGGGAGGTTTGGCAACGATTTTCCCCCTTCTGCACCCAGCCCCAATTATCGGTCACCGGGATTGCTTTGCAGCATCATCGTCGCTGTCCTCTACATTTGCATCACGGTCGCCACCAATAGAGCGCGAATAGAGCGAGTCGGCAGCGGTCGCTCATGGATCGGCAAAGGGGACTTCCGATACCCAGGACCCAACCGACTCCAGACCTCTAGCAGCAGCGTTCAGATCAGGCGATTCAGTAGCTTGACGCCAGACCAGAACGGAATGGGTGAATGAAGCAGCATCATCGATGTTCAAAAAAAAAATTGATCTTGTTATCATTGCTGGAAAAAAAAGGAAGAAAGAAGACCAGGGAGAGAGAGGAAAGAGGAGAAGAGGAAAAGTTGTCTCGGGGAAGAGAGAGGAAGAGAAAAGCAAAGGTCACAATTGGAAAGTTGGGCCAGAAACGCGTCAAAGGAGATTATCTCCCCCTCACCCAAGTAATTCAGATTGACCCAAAACGGAGCAATTACAATTGCCCCATGTCAAAATGTTTCGTTTTATTTTTAGGGTGCCAAATGAGTCAATTTGGCCCAATTGTCTCATTTTGAGTCAATTGGGGCAAATTGACCCATTAGAATGTGCCATCCAAACGACCCCTAAGTATATTTGTTGTATCTTTTTAAAGCAAAGATCTTCCCCCATTTCAAATTCCCTACTCCATGAGCGTTTGTAGGAAGGGTAGAATAGGGAGTGCCGATTTTTTTCTTTTTCCTCTGTGGAACGGGCCAACTTACAGTACACATGCGGATTTAAACGGGTCCAGGAGTGTCACTTTTTTTCTTTAAGTCCTTTTATTTCTCCGTGGTGGTAAATTATATATGAAAAGGCAAAAACAATACTCCTTTTTATTGCTAAAAAGAAAAAAATTTAACAATAAACTAATGCATGGATTCTAATGGGCTAACCGCTAATCATAAAATAAAAGAGTTGAATGGGTCTGACTTACACGTGATTTGCCCATCAAGTAAAACAAATGAACATCATGGGTTTGCCATTCTAAAACAAGCTATTTTCTCTAGCATAATATATATATTATGCTATTATTTTATATCTTAGTGGCTAAAATATAATATATTTTAAAGTTATTCAATGGTTCAACCTCGACCAACCCAATTAGTCCAATTTTATCATTTCAAATATATATTATGTAATTATTTGATATCATAATGATTAAATTATAGTGTATATTATAGGGAATCGTTTGGTATTTTTTAGTAAAAAAACTAAACAGAAAGATCTATTTGGTTATTTTTAACATTAAAACGGTCCTAAACATTTTCAGTTTCCTTTCGAAATTCTATATTTTTATTCCCGAATTAGTGATGTGCAAATGGCGAATTCCAGTCATCTATTTTCTTTCATTATTTTTATTTTCAAATAGAAAGTTTAAAAGTAAAGAATAATTAGAGATTGGCATGGGTTGGTCAAACAGGCTGAATTTCAAGTTTTGGCCCGTTTTGATCAAGTCTAATTTATAATCACATGGTTCCCTGATACCCGATAAAAATCTCAATCCAAACCAATTTGGCAGGTCAGTCCGTGTTTACCATCATTTTCTAGGGATACAGGAACGGTGGTTCCTATCCCAAATCGTGTTGTTCATTCTTGATTTCTTTAGATTTTATCATGACTTGGCAAAAAATCAGAAAACACAATGATGAAAAGATGAAAGTTTTATAAAGCAAATTAATCGGCCAACGGGCCGAGTAAAAGCTAGCAACGATTGTGAGATGCTCATTTCCCGAAAACCGGCGGGAGGCGATTTTTAATCGATTTTTTGGGATTCGGTTTCTATAAAACTTACTCCGCCTCATCATATTACCAGAAACAATATTGTTTCACAACGTAACAGGTACTTGATTTTGGTTCATAAGGCTGATTTTTTATTCGTTGCATCATTCATGTCTCTTTCCTACTAAAATTCACTATTTTTATCACGTGTTTCCCAAAAAAAACTATACAACAATAAGCTATACACCCCATCAATGTAGTCAAAATCGCGTTTTAAAACTTAAAAACTTACGATTTTATATTTCTAGGTTACTAAAACGCTTCTACACAAAATCTCAGTTTTTATAACTTATGTAGTTAAGAACTCCGCTTTAAAACTTAAAAACTTACGATTTTACGCTTCTAGATCACCAAAACGTTTTTACGTAGAAACTCGCTTTGGACTACATTGCACCCTATTACATTATCAAATTTCATACATCACCTTCCTCCGGGCAAATGGCCGGGGCCACGCTAGTTAATTTGTAAATTCTGGTTCGTCCATGATTTCCTATTTTCCTAGTCTCATTAGGAATGCGACTCCGGGCGGATGAGCCGTTTAATTGTTGTCATGCCAGTTGAAACTTTGTACCCTAGGACCCGGGAAAAAAAAGTGATCTCAATCTTAATTCGACCAGGAGAAGGAAAATAGCAGCCGGCGGCGAATCCGCAAAGGATTTGAATTCAAGAGTCTCGCAAATAAAAATTGAACAAATCGGGTTGTTGTCGCGTTCTCTTCCGTTTGCATTCATTCTATCCAGCCTTCTCCGGCGGCACTATTCTATTCAATCCGCCGCGCGCCATGGCGACCCAAGACTACAACTCGGCTCGGGATCTGCCGCCAAGCGCTCGGCTTCTTCTCCCCTGCTCATCGGAGAACCGACGTCGGATGGACCCATCAGAAGTAAACCATCACATGATCAGCAAACAGCTGGGTGATGATCTCCTCGCAGAAATTCTGATTCGGCTTCCAAACCCTAGTTCCGCCTGCCGCTGCAAACCGGTCTGCAAGCGGTGGAACTCCCTGATCTCCGATCCCTACTTCAACCGCCGTTTCGTTTCTCACCACCAGAGCAGGCACGAAGCAGACCCGCCTCTGCTTCTTCCCTCGGACGACCGCCAATCCATCGTCTTGAGCTTTCTCCCCATGCCAATTTGTTTTGGTGTAAACACGAAGAAAGATCCTCGTCGGTATTTCAAAGTTTTCGATTCCTTCAAGGACTTGATTTTATGCGGGTTTTCGTACTCGAGGTGGATCGATCCGACATTCGTCCGATCGTTATTTGTCTGCAACGTGTTTACGAAGCAATGGATCGCCCTCCCTTTAGTGCCAGAAAAGCCAATAGAGGAACATTATATATCGGCTTCGTCTAGGTTAGTTTGTCAACCATGCTCTACCTATGAGTACCAATTTAAGGTGGTATACCTGTATAAAGATGAGAGTGGGACGACCAAGTCTGCGAAAGTCGACGTATTTTGTTCCGAATCCGGAAAATGGACAAAAGACGCTCTTGTCCTGGACCTTCGTGATGATCTTATATGTCATGCTAGTCAAATAGTTGCGAGCAACGACAAACTGTTTCTGTATACCTTTGGTCCTCGTCCGATTGTTGGGTTCGACCCTTTCCACCTCGATTCACCTCCAATTCGTGTTGATGACCCTCCATCTACAGGAAAAAGATTTTTCAGCCCACAAATTTCAGTGTCACGGGGTGTTTTGTACTTGGTTCGACTCGAAAAAACCAGTCATACTGAACCTTACTCGCTGACTATTTGGAGACTGGAAGAAGACCAAGACCACGACCACCATATATCTTGGAATAAACAATACGAAGTGTCGTTGAAAGACACATTAGAGCATAAGTACGACATCATCGAACATTGTCATATTGCATGCCTGCACCCAGAGAAGCCGGAGATTGTCTTGTTCGAATATTATGGTACAAGATTTGGCGACAAGCCTAACATATTGTACATCGATTCGAGGACGGGAGAGGCAGGGTTCTTTGCTGAACATTCATGGTTCTGGAAGCTATTCCAGCCTAGGATCTGTTGCTGGCCTACCCCGATTCCAAGATACGAGAAACTACGAGGTTTATACGATGGAAGATACCGTTGTTGGGTTCAACGGAACAGGAACAGGAACAGGAACAGCAGCAGCCAAGTAACTCCTTCCTCAGTAATTGGCAATTTCTTATGCTCTAAGAAGGTATGTGTATTGTATACTTAATTAACAACAACTTGTTTTGCTCTTGCTCTTGCTCTTTCTGATTCTGTTTTCTTTGTCTCTTTTCCCTGGGTTCCTAGTTTGAGAAAAGCTCACTATATAGTTTTGTAATCCATTGCTAGCTTCTAAATCTAGGTGTTGCAAAGATGGTGAATCACTCTTATGCTGGGAAAAGATGATGGAAAGAGAGGGTTCTCAAGATAGGTGTTACGAAGATGGTGAATCACTCATTTGAGTTGCTGGGAAAAGATGTTGGAAAAGAGAGGGAGGTGTTCTTATCCTCATTTCGATAATAATGAGGGTGGTTCATAGTTCATACTTCATGGCATATTTATTAATTAGTGATGAATAATTGTAGCTCAATCGCGTCAAATCCATTCGAACCCACTCGATAATAACCCATTAAATGGTGTGGTTCAACTTGTTTTTTGGTGGCCTTAAAAGTTTAGGTGGGTAAAAACCATCCAATATATCTTAACTAATCTATATCCTATAACAACACTTTTTTTTTATTATCTCAAAATGACAATCGTGATTGTCTGATTGATTCAATTTAATGATAATTATTTTTAATAAATTATTTTATGACATAAACTCTACCTCAATTATTTGAAAAATATAATAATTATCTGTAAAATTGATGATAGACTATGCAGCAAACTATGGTTAATGGTTGTTGATTCTCTTCAGTTTTCTAGGTTCACTATTTGATTGTCTTGTATTCTAAACAATACAAGTATGGAAGGGTAAAGGCCCCCCATAATAAATATATATTTCCCCATTTCATTGGTACAATTTCATACACCTTCAAGCATAAGCAAGCAATAAATTGCATTCCAGATTCTACCAATTCCATTATAAGACACCAACAGCAAACATTATCTAACATCAGTTTCTCCTCTCATCAGTAGTACTAGATTACCATAAAAAAGATAAAGATGTCTAGCTACATAAATTATCTTCACAAAGAAGAAGAAAACTAAGCTAAATAACAAGTGGCAGGGCTTTCTTATCATCGCCAATAACACAGGGGAACGTAGATACATTAGTGCGTTTCTCACCAATCACCATTAACATCTTCCGATCGATCACAAAACATTCCAGGAATGATTCAACATCTATGTTGCCATGTTGTCATTCATCTGATGACCAAACTGTTCGCAGCTCGGTCAACTAGTTGGCATTCTTGTCTCAGTGGAGCAATTAACAGCCACAACAGCAAGAGAATGAAAGAGACAACACGTTCATCATCATCGAATTTCAGCTTAAAAGAGTAGGCAAAGAGTTTGCAATCAAAACATAAAATGCTCAAGCAAACTAAGAACAAGATAAGAGATGCAAGTATGTGCATGATAATGTAGTCAGTTAGTTTGTTAGTTAGTGCAGAAATGAAAATAAGTTCTTATAAGCAGAAGTAATTACCAATTATTCAGGGACGGAGTAGTTGCTTCAGTGCTGCTCTGAACCCAAAAGCTGTAACTTCCATCGTACATGCCTCGCGCAACTCCTCGTACCTTGGAATTGGAGTCGGCCAGCAAGCCACCCTAATAGGCTGGAGCACAGTAAAACGGCACGCAAGTACTTCTAGTTTAGCAAAGAACTCGAGCTCTCCCCTCCTCAAATCGCAGGACAATATAGCATTGTCATCCGGACCGCCCCTACAATGGAGGAAGACTACTTCCGGGTTATTTGGATGAAGAAAAGGTAGACAACTGCTCTTAGATTTATAGTTGAACCCCACTGCTGTCTTCAACAACGTTTCACGCTGTTTCTTCCACGATTTACGGTCTTCTTCCAGCCTCCAAACGCTCGAACAAGTAGGCACGGTTCGCTCTTCTAACGCAACTACGTGCAGAGCACCCTGCGATACGGAAATGTCCCACCGCTCTTTCTCATAGAATGCAGAGACGTCGATACAAGTGGGAGGTATATCAATGCGGAAAGGATTCCAGGCAGCCACCACGGGATCAATCCGGCCAGCATCGAAATCTCGGGTCTCAATATACACCCACAACAATTCCCCATTCCACGAAGTTACATTCTTGTTCCCAATTTTGATGTGACCAGGACGAACAAGGGCCTCCTTCGTCCATTTCCCAGACTCCGAGCAGAACAAGTCCAGTTTTACAGACTTCATATGAGAATATATACACACCACCCGGAAGCGATACTCAGAGGGATAAACAAACACTCGGTCATCTCCTAGATCAAGATTACAATTAGAGCTGCTCCTGGGTTCACAGACTAACCTGGCAAACGGTGCTTGATACCCCCTTTGCCTTTTCAGGCGCTAGAGGAAGAGCCATCCATTGCTTCGTAAACGGATTGCAGACCAAGTACGATCTGCACTGTTCGCTGTTGTCGTAATCCACATCCCAGAATCCGCATAAAACCAGGTCCTTGAAACAATCCAAAACCTTGAACCTGGCTCCAATTTTGCTGGGCATTGGAGGGAGAAAGCTGAGGATGATCGATTGCAGCTCCTTCTGGTCGTCCGGCATAGGTGGTTGGTTCAGGTTCATGCTCTGGTGGTGAGCAACGAAACGGCGATTGAAGCTGGGATCGGAGACGAGGGAGCTCCACTGCTTGCAGACGGGTTTGCAGCGGAAGGCGGATCTGGGATTGGGGAGGCGAATCAGAATCTCGACGAGGAGATCGTCTCCGAGTTTGCCGATGATGGCGGAAGGAGGAGGGTTTCCTTCTGAGCTGATTCGCCGCCGTTTTCTGGGGGCGGAACGGTGGAAGAGCTTGCTTAACGGCAGATCCCACTCCGCGTTGCAGTTATCGGAGACCATGGCGATAGACAAACAGACGGATTGAGGGAAGATAACTCCGATGCCGGCGCCGGGGGAGAAAAGATGCGGTACTAATACTATACGAGCTCGGGTGACGTCGGAGAAGGCTTAGCTTAAAAAGAGGAAGGAGATTGGAATCCCGAACCTCTCTTTGGTCTTTACATTTTTCCGAGAGTAAAATGAATCCTATAAGGATTGGGTCTGGCCCAATGTGAGTTATGGGCTTGGGCTGGTTATAATGGGTTTGGTTTCGGCCGTATTAAACTTTGCATATACAGGTCAAGTCTTTTATAAGAATTTAAAAATTATTAGAGAAGCTTTTATGTGTTTGTTGCATTTCCAATGTATAGATATAGATATATAGTAGTGGTGGAGAAGAAGGAATTTTTGTTTTTTCAATGATTTATTCTGTTTCTAATATGCATTTGTTGAGGGAATAAATTCATGCTCATGTTTCGAATACTCGTTGTTGATTCTGAAAAGTTCGTTTCGATTATTATTTTTGTCGAACACTCGTTGTTCATAAATACATTAGAAACTTCCGACCCAAACATGATAAATCAAACCACAAAAAGCATATCAGAATCTGCTATTGCAGACAACAAACCACAAAAAGCATACAAATACCGTTTAATGCAAACCACAAGTCTCGTAAAACATACCACCTGCCTTTTTCGGATTGGATAAGCGGCACTATCAGTCTCTAATTAACTGGACAATAGGGTACGATTTTTAAAACCTTGAATCGAAGTAGGCCAACAATGGACACGAGGCTGGAACACCATGAAACGACAGACACCAGGGCCCCCTTCTAATTCAGCAAACAACTCCACCTCTTCTCTTCGCAGATCCCAGGACAGTATAGCATTCGCATCACGATCACCATCAAGCCAGTTGAACAACACGACTCCCGGCTTACTCGGATGCAGACAAAGTTCAACATCGCATCTCTCGACTCGATATTTCCCGCACCTCGTTGTCTTCTTACTCACCAACCCTTCACACAGTTTCCTCCAGGATCGCCGGTCTTCTTCCAGTCTCCAAACGCTCAAGCGCCACCCGACTACTTCACCTGCTCCGCGCCCCTCGAATGCAATCACGTGCAACGCGCCTTGCGAGACCGAAATCACCCAGCACGGTTTCGCGGCGAACGCGGAAACATCAATGGAAGCGGGACGACGACCTGCATCAAAACGGAAAGGATCGAAGGCAGCCACCGAATAATGGACCCGGCCTAATTGTTTCAGATCTTCGAGTTTGTGATACGACCAGAACAACTCCCCGTTGCACGACGACGAAACTACGCTCTTGTTTCCGGACCTCACACAGTCGCGGAGAGAAAGAACCTCCCTCCTCCATTTCCACGTCTCCGAAAAAAACAGGTCTAGCTCCGTACTGGATCCCACCTGATAAATACACACCACTCGAAACCGATACTCGGAAGAATAGACGAACGCTGGTTCGTCGTTATCTCCCAGATAAAGTTTCTTAGGGTTTCGGGGTTCGCAAACTAACCTCGCGACGGCTTGTTCGTACCCTATACGCTTTTTAGGCGCTAGAGGAAGGGCGACCCATTGCTTCGTGAACGGATTGCAGATCAAGTACGATCTCCCCGGTATGTCGTTGTTGTTATACAAATCCCAGAACCCGCACAAAACCAAGTCCTTGAAGCAATCGAGGACTCTCAGATCGTTTAGAACGTACGCGCGAGGGAGAAACCCTAATCTCCGGATGGTCGATTGCAGCTCGTTCGGATCGTCCGGCAGAGGGAGGTGGTGATTCGAGCTACGGTGGTGATGAACGAAGCGGCGGTTGAAGGAGGGAGTGGAGATGAGGGAATTCCACCGCTTGCAGACGGATTTGCAGCGGCAGGCGGGTCTCGGGTCGGGGAGGCGGATGAGAATCTGGACGAGGAGGTCGTCTCCGAGCTGGCTGATCATGGAATAGCGAGAACGGTGGAAGACGAATGAAAGGAAGATGGCGCCGGCGGCGGCCGGGAGGAGGTATTTGGAATCCACAGCGGAGGAAGAGTGGAGCGATCGAAGCCACGAGTGTCCCTCCATACTTTGATTCGCTTGACATAACCGGTGGCGGCCGCTTGCTTCCTCGAATCGTCTCTAAAACCTCGTCTCCTCCTCTCGGTTTAGGACTTGGGGATATCGATGGTTGTTCAGTTTCAACTTTCACGTCTTCCGCAATCAGAATATGGGCTGCTGCTATTCTCTTGATGGGTTGGACCTTTCTTTAACGTAACCGACCATACCATGACACATTCTACTGGGGATGTTGTTTTTTTTTTCTTTCAGAAATACCACTATGAAATTATAAAATTCCAGAAATGCCACATTTGATACAAACTGTTAACTGCATGGAGAAGGCACTATTTACAGGGGAATTGATCGGAGGGGAAACAGTTTCAATTAGGGCGGCCGACAAACCGCCTGATCACGTGGTGGTCTCCGGAGCCGTCGGATGAAGATGCGATTCGACGACGGACAGTCCGTCATGTGAGCACGATCTCATGATTAAACCTATATATTCCTATCAGTTTCTATTATCAACGTATAAATAGTTAAATACATAGAAAATTATATCTTCAAACAAAAAAAAAAGCAAACCTTTCATAAACAATACGTACGTAGATTCATCGTTGTTAACAACAAACCGAGTTACTTGTGTTTTTCCTAGTCGGATTAGGAGTACTCGAGACAATTTCTTGTGATCAAAGTTTGTATATATACGTGTAGAATCAAAACCATACATGACGAAACCTAATTAATTAGCTACCGCCATGGCGAGCGAGAACTACAGCGACTTGGACTGGGATCTCCCGCTAAACGTACTCCGTGGCCGTTCCAGAAAACGACGACGAACGATCCGTTCATCAGGATTAGCAAACCCTCATCCTCCTCCTCCTCCCACGACCATAAACAAACTCGGCGACGACCTCCTCGTAGAGATTCTGATCCGCGGCCTCCCAAACCCTAGATCCGCTTGCTCCTCCAAACTCGTCTGCAAGCGGTGGAGCTCCCTCATCTCCGGTCCCCGTTTCAACCGCCGTTTCGTTTCTCACGGCCGGGAAACCAACCCGCCGATGATGCCGGACGATCCGTTGGAGCTGCTACGGATCATCCGCGGCTTTCTCCCTCCCATGCCTCATGGAGTTGTAGACACTCTGAGAGTTTCGGACTGCAACAAGGACTTGGTTTTATGCGGGTTTTGTGATGTAGGTAAAGACTACGAGAAGGACGAACGAAGCAGGTCGTACTTGGTCTGCAATCCGTTTACGAAGCAGTGGATCGCTCTTCCTTTAGCACCTAGGGTTTCTTCTCGCAGTTATGGGGAGCAAGCAGGGTTAGTTTGTGAACCCATTATTTCTCACAAGCTTGATTTGGGAGATGACGATGGCGAAGCGTTTGTTTATTTCGAGTATCGTTTTCGGGTGGTGCGTACGTACATAGACGTTTATGTTGGTTCGAAAGCAGACGTGTTTTGTTCGGAGACGGGAGAATGGACCAAGGAAGCTCTTTTTTGTCGTGGCCGGTTTACCCTTAGACCCCTGGTTTCATGCAACGAGGAGTTGTTTTGGACGTATTATAAAGGGCACGATGAGCGTAAATTTTGGGTGGCTAGGTTTAATCCTTTCCGTCTTGATATGCCTCCCGCTTCTATCGATCCTCCTGCATTATTCCCCGTGAAAACCAAGTGGTCTGCTTACGTCTCACAAGGTGCTTTGCACGTTGTGGCACTAGAAAACGAAACCCTACCCGTTCGTTTAAGTGTTTGGAGACTCGAAGAAGACGGTCGATCTTGGAGGAAACAGTTTGAGCGATCGCTGAGCGAGAGATCAAAGTGCTGCAACTACGACGTCGTTGGGGGTGGCTGTCATCCGCTTGGTCTACATCCACACAAACCGGAAATCGCCTTCTTTCGTTGCCACGCCGGCAAGGATGAGAATGCGATATTGTGCTACGACGATGATTCGACAAGGGAAGTAGAGCTGAAGGTCTTTGGTGAACTAGCAGGGTTACCGGACGGTCATGGTCTCCGGGTGTTCCAGCCCAGAGTTTGTTGCTGGCCGACGCCGATTCCAAGGTACAGGGAGCTGCAAGGCGTCTACGATGGAAGCTATAGCTTTTGGTTTCAGACTCAGAGAGCAAAAGCAAAAACTCCCCCGCTCCCTCCGTCCCTCATCAATTGGTAACGTGATTAATTGCTTTTCTTGTATTCCTTACTGCTTTGGCATGTCTGTTAGCTATAGGGCTGTCATTTCGGTTGCCGGTTAGCGGCTAACCGGCCGGTCTAACCGTTAACCGCCGGTTAGCGGCTAACCGAAAACCGGAGATTAAATGCTGCGGTCGGTGGTCGGAATAGGTTAGTGGTGCGTCGGCTAGCCGATAAACCGAAGCCGGTTAACCGGCTAGCCGACACAACCGACCGACCTAAACAGTGTCGTTTTGCCTAGCTGTTTTAAACCCCCCAGGCCCCAACCCTACCTTCGTCTCCATGTTCCTCCACAGCAGCAGCCAGTGCCCAGTAGCCACCCCCGCGTCCCCGCCGCCTCCACCACACTCCTTCGAGACGATCCATTCCAATCGGCGACGACGGTCGCCGTCTCCCCGCGTTCCACCGCCGACCGCCGCCTTCCCGAGACGCACGGCGAACTTCCTCGACAGCGCTGAGACCTCATCCTCCGTTGCCTTCTCCCTCCCCCGCCTTGAGTCCTTGACCTCCTCCCTCCCTCGCGCGACAGCCCTAGAGGCATCTCCCCGCCGGCGCTAGGTCTCCGAGACGGCGAGACCCCCTCCTCGCCCTCCGCCTGCTTCCCTTCGTTCGAAATAGCTCTGAATCTCAGTTGGAATCAACTCACCGGCGACATCCCTACTCTGTTCACGGAGCTCGACAAGCTCGGAATCCTAGATCTCTCCCACAACCAGCTCACCGGCGACCTCCAATCCCTCGCCGACATGCAAAACCTTGTGGTGCTCGACGTCTCCCACAACAATTTCTCCGGGAGATTCCCCGACACTCCGTTCTTCTCCAAGCTCCCTGTGAGCGTCCTCTCCGGCAACCCTTCCCTCTGCCTCCCCAGAAGCCCCTGCATTGCGTCGGCTCGACGTCCGCCTCCAACTCCCCTTCTTTGATGGGTTTTATGATTTGAGGATGGAACTTTGGTGTAGTTTGGCGATGGCAGAAGGTGAAGAAGAGAGAAGTGTTGCACTGTTGTGGTGGTTGGTCTTTTTTTTTGACGAAAATGGTGGCCTGGTCTGGTGGGGATTGAATTGAGAAAGGAAGGAGAGAGAAGGAGGAAGGTGATAAGGTTTGAGTGGTTGGGGGATTTTTTGTGTTTCTTTTTTTTTTAATAATTTTTTTTTGTGAGAAGATGGTGCTTTTTGGGCGGGCGGCTAACCGAGCCAAAACCGATAACCGACCGGTCGGTGGTCGGCTAGCCGTAATGCCTCTCACGGTCGGTGATCGGCAACAGAGAGTGATGGTTCGGTTTAACCGATAACCGAGAATTCGGTTTTCGGTTAAACCGAAACCGACCGACTGACACCCCTAGTTAGCTACTAATTGTCCTTAGTGATGGCAATTAGGCGAGGCCGGTCGGGTACCTCAATACCCGTCCGTCCAGTATTAAGTGCGAGTTAGTTCGGGCAGTATTCGTACCGGCCGGTACCAAATGAGATGTGTCGCTCCATTATTATATGTTCTTTGAAAAACCAACATTGATATTTTAACTCTTTCATAAGAAGCGTGGAAAAAAATACTTCGATATATGATAGAAATAATGATTGAGTATAAATAATCGAAAGATAGAATATGAAAGTTCTTTTGGGACGAAAATATAATTTGGAATAGCCGAATAGGTCAAAATAGGAAAAAAAAATACAAGTAGACATTGATATAAATCATGATAAACGAGTCGAAGAACAAGAAAAAGTGACGAGCGAGTGAGATAGGTCGGAAACAGTACCATATATCTCGTTGCGTGCGGTTTAAGGTCAAAAATTTGCCATCGCTAAGTCTACTCGCCGTTTGGCTGATTTAGCTACTAATCTAATGAAATCAATTTGTGAAAATTAATTCGCAGCATGGATCGTGTCATGAAATCGGCCTTTTACAAGGGTTACATCCAAAACGTCACCGCAGAGGCGACGATGCAGATGGTGGCTGCAATCATTCAGCGTCGGAAGGACGAAATCGGCGACGAGAATGTCTATTCGAGACATAGGCGGCCCCGGTCTCCGGTGTACAACGACGAATGGGATCTGATGAGAGCTGATCTGGAAGACGTTGAAGCTGATATAACCTCTCTGGGAAAGCAGAAAGAAGAGCTGAAGCAGGCAATTCTGCGTAAAACGTCGCCAAAGCTTCCTTATCCTCCTCCAGGTAATTAATCAAGTTTGATTTGGGTTAAATCTCTGTTGTTTAAAAAAAAACAATTACTCTTAGTAAGCAATGGGTTCTGATTTTACCATCTATGTCCTTGAGATTTCCAGGTCCTGTCAAAGGTGCTTTGAGGCTGCAGGAGCCATCTCGTTGGGGAGTGGATCATATTATTCGAGCCATCGTCCGTCGTCAGGAGCGGCTGCCACGTGGTACGAGCTCGGGTTGTTGGGAGTGATGGAGCTACTCAGGCTCAAGATAGGGTGCATAACCAAATCCGGACCCTTCATTTAGAAAATCCAGATCTAAGGATGGAGAATTAAAGATCATTTTTATTTTTCCTAGCTTTCTTAATCGGCTCATATCTTTTTCGTTTTAACTCGAATTTTAAATTTTTTTTTTTTTTTTGCACAGATGGAACGAGTTCATCGTGTTCTACAAAATGAGATCAATTTTCAATATTTTTTGTGAAAAAAAAAATTATGACCTCTCGGTACCAACTACATACCATATGGTATTTTCTTCGTTTTTAATTCGTTTTTGAAAACGTTTGCACAAAAGGGACGAGTTCATCATGATCTATTGGATCTACAAATTTTTGGGTGAACAAAATATAGGACCAAAAAATACCACACAATACCACCCTGGTACGGGATGGTATCTTGTGGTACACAATGTTAAAAGTCGTAAATGACAGTTAATATACTTCTACTATCATGTATTCAACCATCCTACAGTCTTGGTTTGTTCATACCACCATGGTACGCTTTTTAAATCATAGGTATGCTCTTATTTCAATACCAGTCAATACCATATGGTACAGACTGGTAAAAAATGGGACAATTTTTTTTGTTTGAAAAATATATCAAAGTGTATATCATTTTTGTTCAATACCAGCCAACACTGTCGAGTTCATCGGGGTGAGCTCCGAGATCGCAAACCACAGCAAGCCACTCGCCGAGGCCAATTTTGACAAGGATGACGTTGACTTCAAAGCTGGTGGAGTTATGAAGACGCCAGTAACGATTCCAAGAACCACAGGTCTTTTGGAGTTGGAGGGAAGGCCTACACCTGCCGCTATCCTGGCAAACAATGCAGTACCAACCACAACCTTCATCACTGGTCAGTGTTCCACAGTCATCGACTCCAAGGGTGAAGTCCCGGAGGGGAGGCCAATGTCGGGTCGCGTGGTGAACTGGCGATTCCGGAAAAAATATCGAAGCCCGGATTGACGAAGACGAAGTCCACAGCTGATTCTTGTGGACGAGAATCTTTCGAAGAGGGATGGTATGTTACGTGCAAATTAGTGGCTGAAAATTAGGGTTTTTTATTTGGGTTGTTGGTAGTGGGATAGTGCTCTGTAGTTAGTTTTTAGGAGTAGTAGGTTTGAGCTTTGCCTATTTAATTCAGTTTGCACGGTTGTAATTAGGAGCCAAGAAGATTAATCAAAGGAACACGTTAGTATTAAGGAGGCCGGCTTTGCCTCGAAGAAGCCATTTTCAACTCTTCTTCCCTTCTCTTCGTTTCCCTCTGTCTCTTGTCCTTAACCCCTCTGTTCCATTCTTACAAAACAGAGCCCCAAATCCCCCCTTAAACCCATCGAGAAGAACGACACATGACAATATATCTTGTTAACAAGAGGGGAAAAGTGAAAGAGTGAAGGGAGAGTTGATGAAAAAGAATTAGGTTTCGATTTAGGCAACAACTCAATTGCATTTCTACTATTTATTTTCTTGAATTATTCTCACTATTATTGATAGGTTACAATTTGGTCAATGTATTTTTTAAATGTGAAGAAATGTTCTTGGTGGGCAGGTAATGGTATGGGTATGAGCATGGGCAGGGTGGCTAAAATCATACCCCATGCCCATCTAAATTTTTTTTGGGGGGAGGGGGGTTGTGTTTTACCATGGTTTTAATTACCATTCCTAATAGAGACTAATGAAGAGTGACCAAATATGAAATGTTTAACTAATTTTAATGGTTAACGAATATATAAAAAAAATAATGACCAAAATCCTATTTTTAGTAATTCCAGTGACCAAACTTACAATTTTTCTCAAATTTGGCAATAAAGATCTCCATTCTCCATTACCCTTCGTGATAACCAACCAAAAATTAACATCTCTATTTTAGAGTCTTCCGTTGGTGGTTGACATCGATTACCACTTTGTAGATGTGATTTGGTTATGGTCCATGAAACTACATTATATCGGTGGTTCAACCACAAAATATCAGTATCGGAGGCTGAACCAATAGACGATATTTAACAAATTGTTGAACCCATAAATAGCTGACTTTTCCGGTACGATTTCATGGACCATGTATTTATTTGGTGCTTTGATAATCGAGTTAAATTTTTTTTTTTTTTTTATAGCAAATCTGTATTGAAACTTAAGCAAATTCAGTTACTACATTGGCATCTTTGTCTAATTGAGGTAGTAAAATGAGCGGAGGACGGTCAAACCATATCTCAGATTCCTCCATCCTACACCGCACTCGGGCCATCTGATGAGCGCATGCATTTCCAGCCCTCCCCCAAAATCTCCAACTGACATTTCCTTCCACCGCCCTCTCTCTGATTTCATCGCAGATTCCCCCAATTTCCAAATTCGTTGCCTCCTTCTTATCCAGCTTCTGTACCAGAGATTTACAATCCGTTTCCACCAGCAAAGGCAAAAAATGATTGTTCTTCGCCATTTTCAAACCCCACAGGAAGGCAAGAGCCTCTGCCATTTCCGGCTCCCATCGCGTCCTCGTCCGATGCACCGCCGCCATCTGGAAAACCCCTTCCTCATTTCTAATCACCATCCCAAAACCCGTTCCATCCTCTCCTAGCACCGCAGCGTCCGTATTCATTTTGTACAGGCCATGGGGTGGTGGTTCCCATCCAATTCGATTCTGCACCGGCTTCGGAGCGTTTCCCTGGGTTTGCAGCTGCTGATATTCCTCCAGGTAATTCTGTGCTCTCGCCACAACCTCCCACTCTTCTAGCTTAGGATTATTGAATAGATGGTTGTTCCTCTCTTTCCAGAGGAACCATAGGGTTATCAGAACCAAAGACATTTCCTCATCGGTTGTTCCTTCCATCAGATTACATAACCATTCTTCACATCTCTTCCCTTCTCCCAGTTGAAAGTATTTTGCCAATAAACTCGGCCTCCACACCCTCCCTGCCCAGTCGCAATCCCGTGTAATATGTTCCTGTGTCTCCACCAACCCACAAAATGGACACTCATCATGTGCCTCTGGGATTCTTCTGCTGAGATTCGACCCTGTAGGGAGGATATTACTCCCCCATCTCCACACAAATACTCGAACTTTAGGAGGTAGCTGAAGCATCCACATTCGTTTCCAGTCAACTGGAACATATGTTTCGATTTGGTTGCTTAGTTGTCTTCTTCGCCATTCCTTGTACCCTGATCGAACAGAATACTTCCCCGTTTTCTCTTTTCCCCATATTCGCAGGTCTGGCCTCTCTCTTGAAGGGAGTGGAATCTGGTTGATTCGATCTCGATCCATAGGCTGGAAATTTTCTTGCAGCAGATTGCTTTTCCAAGTTCGAGTTTCTGGATCAATCAGTTTCGACACCCTTTCCATAACGCCTAAACCGGTAGCTTGAGTTTGTGATTGGATCTTGTAGTTCTCAGCTGATGGGATCCATCTGTCCCACCAAATTCTCACACTTTCCCCATCTCCTATCCTCCATCTCGTCCCCTCTCTAACCAGACTTTGAGCTTGCATCAAGCTTCTCCAAATATAGCTAGGATTCGTACCCAATTCCGCTTCCAGTACATCACAATGAGGATGGTACTTTGCCTTCAGTACACGTGCTACTAGGGAACCAGGGTTTTGGAGTAAATTCCATACATGTCTTCCCAGGAGAGCAATATTAAAACCATGGAGGTTCCTGAAGCCCATTCCCCCTTCGTACTTTGGTCTACATAATTTGTCCCAACTCATCCAGTGTATCCTCTTTTCCTCCCTTTTCCTTCCCCACCAGAAACTAGCTATCATACTTTGAATTTCCTGAATAACTCCCTGCGAAATTAGGAACACTGACATGGCATATAGCGTCTGAGCTTGTGCCACGGCTTTAATCAGAACTTCCTTGGCTGCATTTGAAAGGAGTTTACCCTTCCAGTGTTTAATCTTGTTTCGGACTCTGTCAATTAGCTGAGAGAAAACAGCTTTTTTGGCTCTCCCTATTACAGTGGGCAATCCTAAATACTTGTCATGATGCATGACAGTCTTCATACCCAAAATTGCTGCCATGTCCTGTCTGTCACTGTCAGTAACGTTTGTGCTAAAGGACAGTTTCAAATATGCTCGGTTAAAGAATTCGGCTCAGCCCATGAAGAGAATAGCAGCCCAGCCCATATTCACATTGTGGGGCTTGAAACGAAACAATCGGGCCCAAAGTCCTAACCCGAGAAGGATGAGGTTCCGAACAAGGAAGCGGTCGCCGCCGGTTAAGTAAAATTCGCTTCGGGGCTTTTCAGTAGCTTGGCTCTCTCTGGGAATTGGGATTCACTCGTTCTGGTTTTTAATATATCCTTTCTCGTCCGCCGCCGGCGCTATCTTTCTTCCAACCGCAATGTCGACCAAGATCTACAACTCGGATTGGGATCTGCCGCTAAGAGCGCTCTTTCACCGTTCCGCCCCATGGAAACGTCCTCGTCGGATCCGTTCAGAAGCTCCTCCTTCCATGATCAGCCAGCTCGGAGACGATCTCCTCGTACAGATTCTTATCCTCCTCCCCGATCCTAGATCCGCTTGCCGGTGCAAAACAGTCTGCAGGCGGTGGAGCTCCCTCATCTCCAGACCCTCCTTCAATCGCCGCTTCGTTTGTCACCACCAGGGTTTGAATTTGAATTTGAACCAACTTCCTATGCCGGAGGATCCCAACGAGCTGCAATCGACCATTCGGAGCGTCCTCCCTCGCATCCCTCTTAGATACGTTCGAGACGCTTTAAGAGTTCTGGATTGCTTCAGGGACTTGGTTTTGTGCGGGTTCTGGGATCTGGGCAACCACAACGACGAATTGGGGAGATCCTACCTGGTCTGCAATCCGTTCACCAAGCAGTGGATTGCCCTTCCTCTGGCGCCTAAAAAGCCTGTTGGGTATGATGAAGCCGTCACGAGGTTAGTTTGTGAACCCTGCAATCCTAAGAAATTCGATCTAGGAGATGATGATGACGACAAAGCCGCATTTGTTTATTCTTCCGAGTATCGGTTCCGAGTAATGTGTATGTATCAAGTGGACTTGACCACGAAGCTAGACGTCTTTTGTTCAGAGTCTGGGAAATGGATCAGGGAGGCCCTTGTTCTTAAAGGTCATATCAGGCGCGGTTGCAAACGCATAATTTCTTCCTCGGATGGGAAGTTGTTCTGGTCGTATCATGAAGTTGAAGACTTGGAAGCTGGCCAGATTAATCGTTTGGTGGCTGCCTTTAATCCTTTCCGACTTGATATACCCCCCACTTCTATTGATGTTTCTGCATTCTCTGCGAAACCTTGGTGGGTGATTTCGGTCTCACGAGGAGCGCTGCACGTTATTGCATTTGAAGACAACGCATCACCTGTTCGACGTTTAAGCATTTGGAGTCTAGAAGAAGAAGACGGTAAATCTTGGAGGAAACTGTGTGAGGGTTTGGTGAATGAGACATCAAAGTGTGGTAACTATCAAGTTGATAGCTGTTATCTACCTATTCTGCATCCAAATAAGCCGGAAGTTGTCTTGTTCAACTGGCTTGCTGGTGATGATACGAATGCTATGTTGTCCTGGGATTTGCAAAGACAAGAGGTAGAGTTGTTCGCTAAACTGGAAGGGGGGACTGCTGTCAATCGTTTTGTAGTGTTCCAGCCTCGTGTCCATTGCTGGCCTACTCCAATTCCAAGTTACGAGGAGTTGCGTGGCTTGTACAACGGTAGCTACCAATTTTGGGCTCAGAGTGGCAATGAAGGAGCAGTTCCTAGCTAGGGGTGTCCATTCGGGTTCGGTTTTTCGGGTTTACCCGAAACCGACCCGATTATGTACATTTTCGATTTTTCGGGTTCGGGTTCGTTTCGGGTTTCGGGTTTTTCGGTTTCGGGTTCGGTTTTGCTTATCAGTTTTTCGGGTTCCGGCTAAAAACCTCCAATGAATAGAACTCATCCCGTATTTTTAAACTTTCAGGTTTTCGGGTTTCGGTTTCGCTTTAACCGAACCCGAACCCGATAAGGAATTTTCGGGTTTCGGGTAACCGAAACCCGCAAGTCCTTATCGGGTTCGGTTTTAGTGATTTTCGGTTTCGGGTTTTCAGGTTTTTTCGGGTTTCGATTTGGGTAACCGAACCCGACCGAACCGACACCCCTATTCCTAGCTTCCCTCCTCAGTCATTAGCTAGCTCGTCTTCTAGGGGTGGGCATCAGTTCGGTTCGGTCAAAACCAAACCGAAATTAAGGATACCGGATCTACCGATCAATCTACACCTGAAACCGAAGTCGAACCGAAATATAACTCGGTTCGGTTTGTCCGAACCGAGTTATATTTCGGTCCGGTTCGGGATCCCGACCAAACCCGAAATTCCAGACTCTTCCTATTTTCTTTACACTCTCTTCGTCATTTTGTCCTCAGATCTTCCTCTCTCTCTACCAACAAACATCCTTCCACCTTCCTCTGCTCATCAAACCACTCCCTCTATCTCCTTCAAATTTGTTATTCTTCCAACCCCGATCTTACCCCAACTACTCCATAAATCTGCCTCCACAAATCCGCCTCTCACCTCCTCCTCTTCCTTCTCCCCTCCTCTTCCTTCTCCCCTGTCCAGCGCCGTTGTATGCCGTCGCGGGTCTGGGATAGGGTGTCGCCGCCGCAGACGACGCGACAAGCCCATCCCAAAACACGGCAGATCGCAGATCTGCTCCGTCTCTCTTCCGTCTTCGAATCCACCGACGGCGCCGACGACTCCAAGTTCATACGATCTCTGCCGCTAATGCCACCAATCCCGCATGCAAAAGGTGAGATCGATTGGCGACAAGGGCGTCGATGAGGGCGAAGCTGCGATTCATTGGTTGCTTGCGGCGTCGGATAGGAGATGAGATTTGGCGACGCGATGGTTCATGGAAGCTCCTGGAGATGAGATTTGCATTTGCCATTGCTCAATGTTCATTGTTGCTGGCGGCTGCTGTGTTGTGTAGGATAGGGATAGAGATGGGATTGGGCTTAGGGTTGTGTGGGGTAGGATTTGGGATGGGATTGGGCTTAAGATCATGTGGGTTGTGGGGGCCTGGGTTGGGGAGATGGGTTTGGGGGAGAAGGGTTTGGGCTTGGGGAGAATGGGTTGTGGGATCTTGGGCTTAATTAAGGGGTGGGTGACATAAATTCGGTTTCTCGGTTCGGAGGTTCGGAATTCGGGTTCGGATTAACTACCCTGGTTTCCGAAATAATCAATTTTCCCTTCCGAATTCCGAACCGAACAAGATTAATTCGGTTTCGGTTCGGTTTTGTTCGGGTTCGGTCCGGTTCGGTCCGGGTTTACCGAACCGGATGCCCACCCCTATCGTCTTCTAAGCAGGATGATGTTACTGGAATTAAACTATCCATGCATTGAAGATGTTTGTTGGGAGTGATGGAGCTACTCATAGTTCAGAAGATGCGATTTTTTATTTGAAGGCATAATTTATATGTTGAGAAAACATTGAAAAGCGATAGGAAAATGTTTAAGCACGACGAGAAGAGTACTGTTAGCCATATTTTATTTTTTAGCAACCTCCTTACTCTAAATATTTGGCTTTGCTAGTATTATATATATTCTTTCTTGACGTGTAAGTATATATGTAGTGATTAGTGTTTAATTTTGGTGTATTTCATGTCTCGATCTGCCTCAATTATGTCGGTCATTTCGTTTGGAAGAATTCATTAAATCAAAACTGTAATGTATATTCAATCTGATTTGTGGTTTGATATAAATCGGAAACCAAATCGTTAGACAACCCTTGTGAGTTAATTTTTTTTTTTTTTTGGTAGGGGAGCAGATCATGTGTATAGTCTTTTGGTAACGAGTTAAAAACGAAGGTGTACCCGGTGTGGTAACGAGTTGTAGTGATGTAGCAATGCTAAATTATTTAGGCGAAATGGTCATGGGTCTTCCATAAATGGCGATACGACAGCAGTGTGACAGTTACGCATGATTATTGACCATAAAGTTATTGACCTGATCCTCGTTCCCATGAGTTGGGCCTTCTTAACTAACCGAGACTTTACGTCGTTTCAACTTTGTTGGATGGGTTTGTGAAGGGGTAATTAATTGCACCTGATATCATGCAAAATGATGGACTCGTTGCATACTAATCACTTAAGTTTTTGTAGTTGCAATTAAATCATATAAGTCAGACTTTCAAGTTGCTCGTCTCGTCCCGTTCTCGATCCGTTATATGCATCAACATCTACTTGTATTTCCCCTATCTCGACCTTTTCAAACTATATTTACATCCAAAAAAAAACTCAATCTTCCAATTATTTAAATTCAATTATTCTTTCTACTCTATCTCTCATTCTACATACTTGTATTTCCCCTATCTGACTCGCACACGGCTGTGCCTAATTTCCATCACAATTTCCATCACAAGTAGCTAATTACAGACATGCCAAAGCAGTAAAGACTGATGAAGAAAAGCAATTGCGTTACCAATTGGTGCGGGACGGAGGGAGCGGGCCGGGAGTTTTCGCTTTGCTCTGAGTCTGAAACCAAAAGCTATAGCTTCCATCGTAGACGCCTTGCAGCTCCTTGTACCTTGGAATCGGCGCCTGCCAGCAACAAACTCTTGGCTGCAACACCCGGAGAGCATGACAGAAGACCTCCAATTCTTCCCTCCTCCAATCGTAGCACAATACAGCATTCTTCTTGTTCTCGCCGACGGTGCAATGAAAGAAGGCGATCTCCGGGTTTTGTGGATGCAGACCAAGCGGACAAAAGCCCCCAACGATATCATAGTCGCGATACTTCGATGTCTCGCTCAGCGATCCCTCAAACTGTTCCCTCCAAGATCGACCGTCTCCTTCGAGTCTCCATACGCTCAAACGAACGGGCACGGTTCTGTTTTCCACTGCCACGATGTGCAAAGCACCTTGTGAGACATAAACAGACCAGTCGGTTTTCACGTGGAGGAATGCACGAGGAGGATCAACAGAAGCGGGAGGCATATCGGGACGGAAAGGATTAAACCTAGCCACCGAAAAACCCAATTCGCAATACTTCCAAAACAACTCCTCGTTGCAAGAAACTAGGGGACCAAGCACAAGTCTATTACAACAAGCAAGAGTTTCCTTGCCCCATTTTCCCGACTCCGAACAAAACACGTGTAATTTCGAATCGACGAAAAACGATTCTGCGTACGTGCACACCACACGGAATCGATACTCGAAATAAACGGCCCCTTCGTCATCATCGCCACCGCCGCCGCCATCTCCCAAATCGAGCTTATGAGAAATACGGGGTTCACAAACTAACATCGCTTGGTCCCGATAACTGCCAGCAGAAGGCTTCCTAGGTGGTGCTAAAGGAAGAGCGATCCACTGCTTCGTAAACGGATTGCAGACCAGATACGACCTGCTTCGTTCGCTCTTCTCGTAATCTTTACCTAGATCCCAAAACCCGCATAAAACCAAGTCCTTGTTGCAATCCAAAACTCTCAGAGCGTTTCCAACTCCATCAGGCATGGTGGGAGGGAGAAAGCCGCGGAGGATCCGTAGCAGCTCCAACGGATCGTCCGGCATCGGACGGTTCGTGTCCCGGCCGTGAGAAACGAAACGGCGGTTGAAGCGAGGAGAGGAGATGAGGGAGCTCCACCGCTTGCAGACGAGTTTGGAGGAGCAGGCGGATCTAGGGTTTCGGAGGCCTCGGATCAGAATCTCTACCAGGAGGTCGTCGCCGAGTTTGTTTATCGCCGTGGGAGGAAGCCGGTGGTGGTTTGCTAATGCTGAACTCATCATTCGCCGTCGTTTTCCGGAAAGATCCCGATCCGAGTCGCACTAGTTCTCGCTCGCCATGGCAGTAGAGCTAGATGGATTCAAGTAAAGAGATATAAACCTTGATCAGAAGAAATTGTCTCGAGTCTCGACTCTATCTCCAGTACTCCTAATTCGACTAGGAAAAAGGCAAGAGTAGGGTTTACTTCGGAACTGAAACGACGTCGTACCCGTGCTGATCGACAGTAAATAAGAACTGCTTGCATGGGGTGGGCCGTGGGTGGGGAAGTGACATGGGCCGAGCCCAAGTGAACCAAATCCCCTTGTTGCAGAACTCCTCCCAACCAGTCCGGTACGCAATGAAAATTTATTATGTAACCAGTAACCCACACGTGTCTAGGATACTTACCCAACAATTTTGGTTTTCGATTTATATCGAACTACAATTCTGTGATGTAAATAAAATGATAATAATTTTGGTTTTTGATAATAACCAGTAACCCACACGTGCTCGAGAGTTTGAGGGGGTTCTCTGTGCACTCTTTCGCTACCAAGCTCATACAGGATGAATTCAAGGGAGATAGTTCCTTCCCCCACAAACTTATTTGGATCCCTCTCGTTCCTTCTAAAATTTGTTGCTTTGTGTGGATGGCGGCTCATAACAAGGTATCTACGTTGGATAATCTTCGTAGAAGAGGCCTGACTTTCCCTAACCGATGCCCATTATGTAAGTGCAATGAGGAGTCCGTCTCTCACATTCTTTTCTCATGTCCTTTTGCCTCTACTGTTTGGTCTACCTTCCGGAAGGTCCTTTCAATCTTTGGGCCATTTCCAGAGGACCCGAAGATGTTTTTGATAGCATGGAGAGGTGCGGTTTGTCTTTCTCGATTTAATAGGTGCAAGAGGTTTCTTCCTCATGCAGTGTTTTGGCTTATTTGGTTGGAAAGAAATCATCGGGTTTTCAGAGATACAGAGTCACCACCACGAAGCATTTGCTATAAGATCATTCATTCGGTTGGGAGATGGATGCT